GGGCTTTTTTCATGAAGGATGTTGAATTTTGTCAGAGGCTTGTTCTGCATCTATCGAGATGATCATGTGATTTTTTGCTCTTTATTATGTTTATATGATGTATTACCTTTATGTATTTGCATATATTGAACCAACCTTGCATCAAAGAAAGCAACTTGATTATGATGTATGATCTTTTTGAGACGTGGTTGAATTCACTTTGCAAATATTTGTTTGAGACTCATTCTTTCATGTATTTTCATGGTTACATTTATCTTCCTCTTCTGTGTGTAGGATTCCTTTAGTATCTTCTGCAGTGCTGTTTAGTGATTGCTTTAATTTTTGTTTATCATGGATTTTTAAATTTCTCCTTCAAATATGATGAATAGATACTGTACTTGCTACAGTAATACAGGTTGACATTTGTTTTCCATCAGCTGTTAAAATGCATCATTCTATGCTCTTCTTGCCTTTAAAAGTTTATGTTGAGAATTCTGCTATTTTTATTTTGATGGATTTGCCATTATAAGTGACTTAGCATTTCTCTCATGCATCTTGCAACATTCTTTCCTTGATCTGTGTGCACAATGTTTAGCTATAAGATGACATGGGGAGGTTCTTTTCTGGTCAGTGTTCATGAAAGAGTTAGTCAGTGGTGATCTATATTATTTCTTTTATGACTTATTTTTTGTTTTCAGCTTTAATACTTAATACTGTTTTCTTAAGATACTACTGGTCTCATAAAAATGAGTCGGTTGAGTTCAAACCTCAGTACTGAGAAAAAAATGAGTTTGTAATAAGTGTTTCTTATTTGTTATCTGGTAGACATTGTATAAAATTTTATTAATTCTTCTTTAATGTTTGCTAAAAGTCTTCAGTGAAAAGAATGTGCCTGGACCTTTTTCCTGGAAATTTTAAAATTCTTTAAAATTTAATTTCTTTAATACAGGACGATTCATATACAGTATTTCATCATGGCTGTTTTTTGGTAGTATGTGGTCTTTGAAGAGTTGGTCTATTTCTTCTAAGTAGTTAAATTTATGAGAGTAAAGTTGTCATAGTCCTGATTGTCTTTCTAATAGCTGGGGATCTGTTATGACATCCTGTATTTTCCCTGATATTAGTAATTTGTGTATCTATAGTTATCTTTGTCAATTTTGCTTGGTATTTATCAATTTTATTGATTTTTTTAAAAATTACTTTTTTATTATTTACCTGGTTTCAATTTTATAGCTTCTTTCTCTTATTTTTAATCTTTCTTTAAAGATATATTCTTACATTGGGCTGGGAGTATAGCTCAGTTTATAGAGGATTTACTTTCCTAGTATGTGGGAGACTCTAGGTTCAATCTAGAATATATTCCTTTTCTTTAAAATTTGCATTCTTGTTCTTTACCCTTTCCTTGTGTATGTTAATTTTCTGTATTGTATGAAAATTTGAAAACATTTCTTGTTACAAGCAAATGATTAAGAACTTAAGTAGTTTTTACTTTGTCTCCTGTGGTAGAATGTACTTTAAATATACTTTTCCCTATGAAATGAGCCAAAAGCATCATTTCACTATTGTGAACTTTACCACTTTATCTCATAAAGTCTTTGTATTATTTTAATACTGAGGCTTAAATTTGAACCTCTAAAGAAGTAGCTTCTTCATTTTTCTTGGCAATTTTTTGAGGTTGGCTTGGTGATTCTTACCGTTTATACCCTGCTTCCTTCTGCTGTGCAACTAAAAGTCAATAGTCTGGGACAGCATGCCCTTCTTTGAAGGTCAGTGTTTGTGGTCCACCTGCTTGAGCTCTTACTTTCATTTGCTAATGTCAGTGTGTCCTTGTTTCAGATTTCTGAGCTGCCTTTCATTTGATTGATAGTAACTAGTTCCAAATCATTCTATGCTAGTCAATATCATTTCACTTAACCCACAAGAAATTTCGGGAGACTATTTTTATTACTCTTACTTGACAAGTAGCAGAAAAAGTAGAAGGGTTAGGTGCTTTGTGCAAAGTCATTCTGCATAGCATCAGGGGTAGCATTTAAGTTCTGGAGCCAGAATGCTTAGGTGTAAAGGTGGGATCTAAACTTCACTAGTTCGGCAAGATTCCTAATTGTATAGTAAGCCTTAGTTTCTCTTCTAGGAAGTATGAGTAAACAGTGATGAGGCTGTTATGAAGATTAGATGTCCGTCCATATCAAGTGACTAGCCTAGCATCTGGCCCACTGTAATTACTCAGTGAAAGGGTCTCCAAGTTGTTTATTATTATGGCATGGCTTCTAGGTGGGAAACCTGGCATATAAACCTAAAGATCTTGGGCTCTTGATGATGTGCTCTTAGTTACACATCAGACTTGGTGAGGCTGTGACCAAATAGCTTGTGACTGGCAACATTGGATCCTTTGCTTCGAAGTTGAGAAGTCATCATGATGAGACTCTGGGTTCTACATTCATCATCCCATGGAATGATCCTAAATTATTCAATCTCTTTCAATGCCAACTGAAACAGAGATTTAAAAAAAAATACCCCTGAGAGTGGTAAAAATTAAAGAAACCAAAAAATTTTATGAAAATGTTCTAGCACAATCTCTGGTCCAAGTGTGTGCCTAATAAATCTTGTTAAATAAGTGAATAATAATTATAATAGTATTCAGTGAACTGATTACTCATAAAATTATTAACAAATAATTATTATGATAAACCAATGCTGACTGCTGTTCATCTAAAACACTAGAATTGGGTGACCCTTGGAATGCTTTTGGTCTTCCAGGGAAAGAATTTTGTGATAAGCATAATTCTTTCTGCAGAGCACTAAAATATTGAATGATTGACAGAGACCATCCACCCACAGTTAAAACCTCCTGCAGAGTCTGAGTGTCCCAGGCAAACTAATATGCCCAGCCCTGTACAGAAAAAACACTGGGTCAGCTAATCCAGTGCGAGTTGTCCCTTTGGTCCCATCCTTTGATGCTTTTAGCAGACTTGATGAACCCGAATTCCTGAGGCCTGTGTGCATTAATCATTTTCATTAGAGGAGGCCTGGGAATTGATTGGGAACACATTCTCTGATTCGGTCAGACTGGGATGAATGTCATAGGACCAGGTAAAGCACTTGCCTGGTATTTGTATTTCCTTTTCCTCTTCTTCAGCCCCTGCCTTAGGTCAAGGCTGAGATTCAGGTGACTTGAGTTTCATTTTCAGCTCTATCAACAACTGCATGGCTTTAGAAAGTCACTAAGCTTTCCTGGATTTCATTTTTCTTACTCTGCAAAGTGGCATCATGCCCTACTATGAGGTTGAAGTCTAATGCATGTGTAGTAACTAGTTAAGATCAGCGCAGACTTTTTAGAGAAGGCCAGGTAGTAAGTATTTTAGGCTACTTAGTCTACAATGGATCTGCTGTATGTCCTTTGTTGTTTGTCTTTCACAACTATGTAAACTTAAAAGTCTTTCTTAGCTGGACCACAGGCTGTAATTTGCCATGTTTTGGTATAAGGTATAAGAATATTGGCTCTAGAAGAGCTCTTTTCCAATGCTCTCATTGGCTGAAGAGAAAACAGAGGCAGGCACAAGTAATTAGTGCTCTCTCTTCCCTCAAACTTTTACAAAGGCAGGGTGCTGAATAATTGCAAAGAATTTTTAAAAATTATTTATATTAGTGACAATGTTTCAAGTCCTATTTGTCTTTATTTCAAAGAGCTATTGCATTAGTACAAATTGGAACAACTAAAGAAAAACAGCTTTAGACATTTAAAGAATGAGAGATTAGACTTTTAGGAAATTTGATTCTTCTGGAAAAAACTTTTCTGAAGAAAAGTTCTCCATTCAGAAACACAAGATACATCAAAGCATCACTGCCATTTGTGTATGTGTTTCTGTGTGTTGTGTTTTGTTCTCTCTACCTGCCCACTCCCCAGCTTGAACTTAGTATGGAAAAACTTTTAAGTGTTCTGTGCATATCAAGGAAATTTGGAGGCGAGGGGAGATTCTCTTGCCATTAAAAGCTTAGATACACATTTATATGTGTTTATAGTTCTACTTTGTCCTTATAATGTTATTGATGTATTTGGTTTCAGCAGGAGGGATAGAAACATAATACATTAGTGTTGAGGAAAATTGTTGCTTGGCCAAAGATTTTTTTCTCTCTTCCTCTTATCTTCTGTCTTTCTTCCCTTCCCTCCATTTTCCTTTCTGGCATGAGTGTGTCTCCATGGTGACTGGAGTTGCTAGGCAGGTTGCCCTTTGTAAGGGCAGTACCAATATTTCCCTGTCTTTAGCTCTAGTTGTTCCATTTGTTTGATCATGTTAACAGTTTGCTTCTTGGCATCTTTTCCCTTTGTCATGACCCTTTTGGTGATTTCAAGAAAACGCCTTTTAGGTTCCTAGTTAGGAGCAGAGCCAAAGTCAACCATTTTTTCTCATAAGTATTTTGCTACCAACTGTGAGAGGAGACCATGGAAACAAAGTCAGCAAACCTCTGGCTCCTAAGGTGACCGTAAGATAGTATGCTTACTGTGTACAGAAGAAATGTCAGAGGACTTGATTAGACAGCCTGGTAAAAGAGCAGGAATGCTGAGATGGGAATCTTTTGGAGTAAACGTGAAATGATTGGATATGTTGGTGCTCTTGAATAAAAGAAAAGGTTTGACGCTTAAGCTACTATAGCAGAACTATCTATGTAGCTGCACACATATGGTTCCTACTTATTGGATATCTACTATGCCAGGCTATGTAGATATTTGCTGTGTATTTAACTTGGAATATCTCATTTACTTCTCATTCCTCTTCCATAAGATAGGTATACTAATAAAGTCATGTTAATGAAGTGAAGGAAATTCAAAGAGGTGAAGAGATGTAAGCCCAAATGTATTTTTTTTCAAAATTCATACTATTCATACTGTTATGTTGTTTTACTTGATCTATGAACTTGTACCTGCTTCCTAAGGTAAAACCTCTACAGTCACATGTGATTTGAGAAGGTCATAATTGACTAAATACTTCATGTTTCTCTTTTTTCTCCCTTACCTTTCTTAGGCCACCTCGAGATTTAGATTCCAAGGCTTGCATTTCTATTGGAAATCAGGTAAGAAATGTCATGCCTATCAGTTAATGCCATTTTATATACATTCCTAATTCCTTCCTTCTTTCCTTCATTCCTTCCTCTCTTCCTCCCTCCCTCCCTTCCTCCCTCCCTCTTCCCTCCCTTTCTCTCTTTCTGTACTGGGTTCTAACTCAGGGCCTTGTATTTACTAGGCAGGCTGTTCTACCATTTGAGCCACACCCCAACCCTTTTTGCTTTAGTTTGTTTCAGATAGTCATGTGCTTTTATCCCAGGCTTCCATGGATCTGCAGTCCTCTTACCTCTGCCTCCGGAGTAGCTAGATCACAGGCATGCACCAGCATACTTAGCTTATTTTTTGACCTATAGTTTTGCTAACTTTTTGACCTGGCTAGCCTAGAACTGAGATCCTTCTATCTCTGTGTCCCAAGTAGTTGCTATTATAGGACACCCCATCGTGCCTGACCCTAAATATATGCTTTCTGAATGAACACTAAAATTCTTATTTTCGGTAACATGTTGTCAGGGAGTTGAATTGTGAATTGAAATCCACATCTTGTGGTTCTGAGGAAAGGTGTTGAGGAGAGTGGATAATTCTCTCAGGAGGACATTTTTCAAAGCTATGAGGATCCAGTTGCCATCAGTCAGTAATGGATTACAGAGAACTGCAGGGTAGGTGGTTTCAGCTGAGCACTAGAAAACTGAGTTGGATGGAGCTGGCCTGTGTGTTGCCTGTGACAAGGGGCTGGCCTACTGGGACACAAATTTTCACTGGTACTTCCTGCTTTCAGTGGTGTTTTGACATTCTTGAAAACCTTGTGACACAACAATAATCCTTAGAATATGGGGAAACAGTGTAGGTATAGTGGTATACACTTGTGCTGCCAGTAATATGGAAGGCAGAGGTTGGGAGGATGGTGGTTCAACTATAGCCTGGGCAAAAAGTTCTTGAGACCCCCATCTCAACAAACATGCTAAGCATGGTGTTCAAGTCCCTAAGCCCAAATATACAGAAATGTAGGTAGGAGAATCACTGACCAAGGCCACCCCGGGGTAGGGGGGTGGAGTGAGAAGATCGTATCTGAAAAATAACTAAAGCAAAAAAGGACCAGAGGTGTGGCTGAAGTGGTAAGGCACCTGCCTACCAGAGCAAGGCCATGAGTTCAAACCCTAGTACCACCAAAAGAAAGAAGGAAGGAAAGAAAGAGAGATAAAAGAACAGGGAAAGAAACCAGATTGAGGACAGCATAGGTGATGTGTAGCCAGGTGTTCTCTTTCCTGTTGCACTGCTGCTACTTTCCTTTCCTGTAGAACTTCGAGGTGAAGGCAGATGACCTGGAGCCTATAGTGGAGCTGGGACGAGGTGCGTACGGGGTGGTGGAGAAGATGCGGCATGTGCCCAGCGGGCAGATCATGGCAGTGAAGGTAGAGTTGACGTTCCCCATGTGGTTTGTATCTGCACTGTCTGCATTTGTCCATCCCCTCTGTAAACCAGCCCTTTTCACAGACACAAAACAGTCTTTAATAGGGCAGAGAAAAAAAGTTGCAGGGAACCATTCCCCTCTAAATGTGAGGAAGATCCTTCCTTGGATTTAAACTAAGGAAGGACCCTTAGTTAAATGATCCTTTCATTTAGTTTTAAGCTAAGTCCCCCTGAACCATCATCTTTAATTTTCTATGCAACCACCATCTCATCAATCACACTTAAAAGAATTAATATTTTGAAACATCATCTAATAGCAGTTCCAAAGTAAAATTTCCTTGATTATCTCAAAATGGTGTTCTTAATACTATCCTTGGTTTTCTTTTCAAATCCAAAAAATTGTATATTCTGTTGCTTTTAAAGAATTGCCCTTGAAGATCAAGAAACCAGAGCTGGTAGAGTGGCTCAAGTGGTAGAGAACCTGCTGAGATCAAACCCCAGTACTACACCAAAAAAAAAAAAAAAAAGCAGTAAAAATGACATATCTTTTTCAAAAAATCAAGAAACCAGAACTGAGAGAATTGTCTCCATTTGTGGAAAAAGGAGGGTAAAATTTACATAGTTTTTGAGCTATGGACAGACATCTGGAATCAGTTTGCATTTTTAAAAAAATTTTTGGTAGGACTGGGGTTTGAACTTGGGACTTTGTGCTTGCAAAGCAGGCACTGTACCTCTTGAGCCACACCTCCAGTCCATTTTGCTCTGGGTATTTTGGAAATGGAGCCTCACAAACTGTTTGCCGAGGCTGGCCTCAAACTGCAATCCCTTCAATCTCAGCCTCCCAAGTAGCTAGGACTATAGGTATGAGACACCAGTGCCTGACAATTGGCATTTTTTTGAGTAGAGACTGGGAGGATTAGCTTCTCCAGATAAGTTAGGAGGCCTGGGCCTTGGTTAGGAATGGCTGAATGCCCGGATGCCTTTGCTATTGCAAACAGGAGCTCTCTTCCCCTTACCTTGGAGATTTTCCCATGTTTTCTGCTGACTGTTAAATAGGCAAACATGTGAAGGCCTAGTGCCCCTGTACCTTTCCTGTGGCTAAAGCACATTTCTGGAAGGCTGTATTTGCTGGTGTGGCAGGTTTTTTTCCTCTCAGAAGCACTAGGTAGGGATGAATGATTTCTCTATTTCTGTTTGGTTCCTTTTATGTCTACAGCTATACTGAATCTCTTACGGTTGCTGTTTATTCCAAATACAGCTACTCCTCCTTATTTATGGGCTCTGCATCCACACATTCAATCAACTGTGGATCAAAAACATTTGAAAAATATGTACTCAACACATAGGGGCTTTTCTTTCTTGTCATTGTGCCTAAACAATGCAGTAGAGCAACTCTGTAAATTCTATTGGATATTATGAGTAACCCAGAGATGTTTTAAAGTACATGTAGGTTGTATGCATATGCTATACCATTTTATATGACCCTTGAGCATTTGAAGATTGTGGTATCTGAAGGGGATCCTGGAATCAATCCCCCAGAGACACAGAGGGCTGAGTATAGCAATTATACTCCTACATGAGCCCCAAATAAACATCAAAGTAATTAATATTATGACCTCTTTGTACTGAATAGATATAAATAACACAATAAACCAGATTGTTTTTTCTCAACTTGGAAATACATTACCAAACATTTGCCTACTTGCTGAAACATAGGATGAGTTTGCTTCATTCCAAGGCCTGCTCAGGAAATCAAGTGGTAACAATCTTCCTTGTTTTTCATTTGTTACAAATAGCTAGTCTCTTAGGGTTGATACTTGAAAGGTTGTTCCAGCAGTTGTGATTTTTTTTTTTTTTTTTTACTGTTTTTTACAATGGAGCTCCTTAAGGTTCCTAACATGTTAACTGACTGATCCTCAGAATAGTAACCATATATTTTCCATGCATTTCCATTCAGAGGATCCGGGCCACTGTAAATAGCCAGGAGCAGAAAAGGCTATTAATGGATTTGGATGTTTCCATGAGGACAGTTGACTGTCCATTTACGGTCACCTTTTATGGCGCACTCTTCCGAGAGGTAGGTGATCCTTCAATTCAAAGTTCAAGGTTAATAAATAGCTTAAGTTTCTCTCATCACATAAATGCCATGACTATCTGCTGGGTTGCTCTTTGGAGATTACCTTGCTCCTTTATAAATTCCTTTGAGATCTTGAAAGGAAATTCTTCCTTTCCTTCAAAAACTCAAGCAAGAAATAGCTCTTCAGGACAGCTGCTGTTTCTTCTTTTTCCATTCCTCTTTAACTATCCCTGAATTTATTGGTTTCCAGGGCGATGTTTGGATCTGCATGGAGCTCATGGATACGTCATTAGATAAATTCTACAAACAAGTTATTGATAAAGGCCAAACGATTCCAGAGGATATCCTAGGGAAGATAGCAGTTTCTGTGAGTACATCATTAGTGTTCCTACAAGGAGAATGGCAGAAGTCTGGACTTTGTGTGTCTTTGCATCCTCAGTAGGCAGAAACACTACCTGTACCACAACCACCATCCAACACATATCTGTTGAGTGCATGAGAACACTGGTTGGAGGGCAAGGAAGTGCTCTGTAGAAGATGCTGTCAGTGACTTGCTCAGGCAAACTCCACATCAACTGCTTTTAAGTGTGCATTTGTCTACTGTAACTGCCATTCCAGTGTCAGTATTCTGATGTACTTCATTCCAGTTTTCATTTGTAGAGTCTTAAAAGTTTTCTTAAGACCAATAGGAGTAGAAGGAAGCAGAAGAAAAAGACATGAGAAGGTCTGGTGGTACCTGCATGGTGACTGAGGGTCAGGAAGGTAGATACTTGAGACCAATAGGAAACACAGAAGAGAGACATCTCTGCTCTAGGACCTAGTCCTCTCTGGTGGGTGGAGTCCAATTTGCATAACTTTCTGTTTATTTTCCTGAATAGGAGGGACACTATTTGAGAAAATAGCTCACCCTGAAACCTTTAGCCAGAGATAATCAACCCGAGTATATTTAACATTCGATTTCTTTCCTGTGATGGTGTAACTAAATCTACTTTGCTTTTCTCTTGCAGATTGTAAAAGCATTAGAACATTTACACAGTAAGCTCTCTGTCATTCATCGAGGTAAGTGGAGCTCCCTTGGCTGTTCCTTTTAATAAGTTCATCTTTTTTGCCTGGAGCCTCTTCCCTGCCCCTGCACCCCCCGACCCCCACCTCCTCTGCATAAATGGAGATGGACTTGAGCTAGGCAGGAGAATTAAAGCCTTTTCTGTTCTGTGGGATTGTTTAGCAAGTCCAATGAATAGTTATGTTAGTTTTCTGTTCTCATCACAAAATACTTGAGATAATTAACTTATAAAGAGGAAAGGATTATTTTGGCTCACAGTTTTGGAAATTTCTGTCCATGTTTGCTTGGCACCCTTTTACTTTGGGACCTGTGAGGAGGCAGTACAACATGACAGGAACACATGGCAGAAGAAAGTTGTCACCCATGGGTGGGAATGAAAGGGAGGTGAAGAGACCGGGGTCTCACAGTCTCCTTTGAGGGCACCACACCTTTCACTAGGCCCCCTACAGGCTTCTGCTTGTAACACCGAGCCTTTGGAGACACCTGGGATCCAAACTATAGCAGCAGCTGTTCTTTATCTTGGCCAAAGCCATAAGAAGACATGGCTTTATTTTATGTTGTACCTAATTTGAATAAAAAATACCTCTGACAAGCAGATCTGTGGTGTTATATCATTGAAGATTTTAGGAAATGTAATAAAAATTCCTCTTTTTGATGGTATTTTTTTTTTTTTTGACAATGCAGGGGTTTGAACTCAGGACCTCACACTTGCTAGGCAGGCATTCTACCACTTGAGTCACTTCTTTTGCTGGTTTTGCTTTAGTTTTATTTCATCTAGGGTATTGTGATTTTTGCCAAGTACCAACCATGGACTGCAATCCTTCCGCCCATGCCTCTCATGTAACTAGAATTACAAAAATAAACTACCATGCCTTGGCTTTTTTGGCTAAGTTCCAGTCTTGCTAACTTTTTGCCAGGCTGGCCTCGAACCACCATACTCCTGATCTTTCTTTCCCAAGGATGCTAGACTTTGAACTCAGGACCTCAGGCATACCACCACGTAAGACATACTCCCCCACCCATTTTTACTTTAATTTGTTTATCAGATAGTGTCTTGTGCTTTTGCTCAGGCTGGCCTCAGAATGAGCTCCTCTTACTTTCTCTTACACATGTGTGCCACCACGTGTCCTTATTTTTGAGATAGGGTCCTGCTTTTTGCCCTGGCTGGCCTCAAACTGTGATCTTCCTTTCTCTGCCTCCCAAAGTAGCTGAGCTTACAAGTAGGCATCACCCCATCTGTCCCTAAAATTTATCTTACGTTGGTCATCATGAAGGAGTTTGCTAGAAGAACATAATTACCAGATGAATCAGAAACTGAGTTATAACAAGATCCTTAGTGATTCTTGTGCACGTTAATCTTGGAACAAAGCAGCATACTCTCAGGCTGCAGGAGGCAGGAAAAAATGATTTGTCTTTCCTTTTTTCTCTCTCCTGACCTATTATCTCTTCCTCCATCCATACCTGTATATCCATCCTTCCATAATTTATCCATCTATTTATTTCAGTCACTTAGAAGGCATTTTTAAATACAGTTCTATACTAGATGCCCTCAGAGTTATCGAAGGAAATATATTATTATTAAAAATAAATAAAAATGAAAAGAAAATCCTAAGAAATATGACTGTTCCAAATATGGAAGTCATATAGGTAGAATTTAACACAGAGAAATAATTATTCCTGGGAGACTATAGTTCCTTGAAAGGGTTACACTAGCCAGGCTCTTTGAGCAAATGAAAGTAAAGTATTGATAACTAATGGCACATTGTGGCTTGGGTAATTCTTAAACTTTGTGAGACTGGATATAATGTAAAATGCCTTGTACAGTGTGCCTATTGTTATTGTTAATTAGTAATGTTAGAAATTAGAAGAATAGGAGGTGGAGGAGGAGCAGAGTTACTGCCTATTTCAAAACTCTGACATATGTAATTCTTATTAAAGTCTAAAAAACATAAAATTGTATTTGCTATATCATCCTGTTGAAGGGAGAAATTATAAAGGATAATTATTCAAGCTTTTAGAATAACTCTTAATTGTGTGTCCATTGTGAAGTGTGCCAAAGGTTAAAATTAACTGGAACTGCTAATTCCATTACCCAGAGATTACAATGGTTCATCTTTTGGGGCATGTTTGTGCACCCACCTTATGTCTTTCTAGTTTGAAAGGTTCATTTCAATTCGGGTTATTAATTTCCCTTCTTCTGTGACCTGTTTGTGGTGAACTTTGGGTTTGTTACTTGTTACCCTATGGTGACTTTTGACCAATGTTTTGTAGAGATTTCAATTGAAGCGGGTGGCTTTGGACTCTACTTGGTGTATTGTTGTTACATCCTTCCTTTTCATTCCTTTATCTTGTACTTTCATGCTAACTATGCAGCAGATCATTTTCAGCTGGGCATTTGGATCAGTAATAATTGTTTAAGTTCTTCCTGCATGCATGGGGGCAGTGAAAATGATAAAGTAGAGTGAACATATTTCCATTTAAGAATTCCCAATCCTGCAGGACACAGACAAAAACATGAAGAAGAAAAATCAAGTTGAAAACAAGAAGCATGTGGGATGAGTCAGGGACAAAGGGTACTTTTGTGTTGGGCAATTAGGGAATGGCAGGTGAGGGGCAAATGGAGATCTCAGGCCCTCTGCTGGTAGAGAACTGAAATGATGAGATCCTGGTCATTCTTACTTTCAGACGTCAAGCCTTCGAATGTGCTGATTAATATTCTGGGTCAAGTGAAGATGTGTGATTTTGGAATTAGTGGCTACCTGGTGGACTCTGTTGCTAAAACAATTGATGCAGGTTGCAAGCCATACATGGCCGTAAGTACAGCAGCGAAGGGTGGCATCTGAGAATGTATCTTGCCTGCAAAACGAGGCTGGGAAATGGGGAATGGATGGCCTAGAGGGAGAACATTTAAAAGTGTCTAAAACCCAAGAAATATTCTGCATTATTTTATTTTCTGAAACATTTCCTGTCACAAATCCTTAGGCACTTACTTTATATATTGTTGTTATTCTTTTGGATTGCTGTAACAAAACTACAAACTCAATATCTTAAAAATAACAGAAATTTCTCAGCATTTTGGAGGCTGGGAAGTCCATGATGAAGGCACACCTGGTTCAGTGTGTGCTGCGTGTGTTTCTCTGGTTCATAGATGGCACCTTCCTGCCGTGTCCTCACATGGGAAAAGGGACAAGGGATCTCTCTAGGGCTTCTTTAATGAGGGCACTAACCCGGTTTCTGAGGGTTCCACCCTGATAATCTAATCACCTTATAAAGATACCACCTTCTATTACAATCACACCGGTGATTAAATTTCAACATGTAGATGTGTGTGTGTATGTGTGTGTGACAAACATTCACAGTTTAGCATACATGTGACTTTCAAAAATCAGACAAAAGAGACAGTATTTGAAAACACATGTAAGTAGTACATGCCATCTGCACAATTTTCCACACTGAGCTGCAGGTGAGTGTTACCTTGTTTGTTGTGGACAATATACTAAGTAGAATTTAAAACACCTGCACTGGGCAGTTGTGTTAGTTATGAGAAAACCTCACAGATGTGCAGATTCATTGCCATTAGTGAGACATTGTTATCCCCTGTAGCTAAAGGAACTTGTACTGTGTTCTCTTTGGAAATGGTCTTGTGTTGGAATCGACAAGTTTCCTGTCCACATTCAGCTAAAAATTGTTTATATCTATTAATACCAAACAGTAGCCTAGAAACTCTTGTGGATTCCTTTTACTAAGTTCTGGGGTGTTGGTGTTTTTAACCAAGGATAATTTAGACGGAAAAAGTAGTTTTATAGTATGTGCCTGTTTCTTCTTAAAGCAAATTAAAATTTATTATGAAAGGAACTTGACCATTTCTGTCTCTAAGAGAACACCAATGTAGAAGAAGGAAAGGCCCAGAGAGACAGTGCATTAATTGTAGTGACAGTCTTTTTGGGCTGGGAGGCATGTTCACAGCTTATAACAACTCTTTTGGCAGCCAGTTCTATCCTCACCCCCAGTCTTCATTAAGCTACAGATGTCCTCTCCATTCTGTCCAGTTTCTCAGTTGTCTGTCTCCTTTCCAGCCTGAAAGAATAAACCCAGAGCTCAACCAGAAGGGCTACAGCGTGAAGTCTGACATCTGGAGTCTGGGCATCACCATGGTAGTAATATGATAATCATCACGGGCTATAAGATTTTGAGCATAGAGTGGAAGGGGGTGGGCTTTGGGACCAAGAAGAAAAAACCCTAAATGTTGGTCTTGGGATTCCTTTCCTGTGTGAAGTAGCAGGGGATTTTGGAATGCTACTTGTTTGCAGTGTGGTGTGGTATAGAAATTCTGAACTTGGCCAAACCAATGTTTCTCTTTATTCTGCCCCTTACTGGTCGTATGCCTTTGAGTAATTGGTATAGTCACATGGATTATTTTTTCCATCATCCTCTGTAAAGCAAGAGGGTCCAATTAGATTCTTTATACTTTAAATTATTCTAGCCAAGGCAAGAAGCTCAGCTATACGAAGAGTACTAATGTGTAGGGGGCCTGGTGGGGCTGTTGTCCAGGATGCAGGTTGTGCTTCCCAAGATATTTTTATTATAGATGTCTTGGCTGGTGAGGTCAGACATATCCTAAAGACGTGATAACAAATGGGTTGATTTCCTTAGCACAGTCCTACAGTTGTGCAATCGGTGCTTTATTTTTAACTTTGATGATCATAAATTTTTAGTGTATCACCAAGGTCTTGAATTATCCACTGTGGTACTTACTGGCTCCTTCCCAGTCACAGCAGCTGATTAAATCCTATGAATTATTCCATGTCCCTGCCCAGAAAATACGTGATCCCATAACAGCAAAGTGGCCTTTACTCAAGTCCAAAGAAAGATCATTTGGTCCTAGGTAACTTTTTAAATTTCTTCTTTAAAATTTTTCCATTTCACCAAGGGACCTGAAGGTGGCAGCAGAGGAACATCTCTGCAGATGTCTTAAGAGTAAGAATTCCTTTTCAGACCAAATGTTTGAAAAGCACCACATCTTGAAGTTTAATGTCATTGGCTTACAATTGTTATGAAACAGTACTCTGGGTTTTAGTGAGGGTCTTGGTTTTAGATAGATGTAAATGGCCTCTCTAGTGAGATAATATTAGAACACCCCTAACACTAGGACTTTTGGAGAAATTGCTGGAGAACAGGTTATTCGTTTATTTTTTCTTCCCAATTATACTTGAACTTCACCTCTGTATCTTCCTCTGGGTCTCCTAGAATAAACACAGCTGATTCTTTAAGGAGGTCTTTTTTCACAGTTGCCTTTCTGTTTCCCTTGTAGATTGAGCTGGCTATCCTTCGGTTTCCCTATGATTCATGGGGAACTCCCTTCCAGCAGCTCAAACAGGTGGTAGAAGAGCCATCACCACAACTCCCAGCAGACAAGTTCTCAGCAGAGTTTGTTGACTTTACCTCACAATGGTAAGAGAGCCCCAGCTCCCACATGCCAATGCTAAAGAAGACATACTCTCATGAATCCCCTCCACCTGGTTGTATCCATTATGCACACATTCATTTTGAAAGCATCCAGGCTGGAGAACAAGATGACTGTGCCATAACCCCTACCACAACTCTGCTCCAAGTCCAGTAAGGGAGAGTCATAAATCATATTTATAGTATAGTATTACAATGTGGCAAGTCTAAGGCTAGAGATATGCTTAGGGTATTTAGGAAAAGTCAGAGGAAAGGCATCAGGATAGATTTTCTGGAGGAAATGAATCCTGAGCTGAGACCATGAGAGGTATTTTCCAAGCAAAAGGGAAGTATAAGAATGGTACTCCAAACAGAAGGAATATGACACACAGTGCCACAAAAGTGAGAAACTCCTATGTGAGAACCGTAAGCATTTGTTGTTGAGCATAAATAAAAAGGGGAAAGAAGTACTGGTGAATAAGGGAAAGGAAATAGTTGCAAAGAAGACAGTGGGTAACTCAAGAGTCTTACTTAGGACCCTAGAAATCTTCCAGAATTTGGCTCCTACAGAACCCTTGACAACTGTGGATAGACTTGCCCAGGAGGATCCAGTAGGCAATATTGGGGGTCTGGGAAAAGAACCCAAAGAAAGGGAATGGAGAGAGGGAAAGAACCATATTACTGTGGTAAGCATTTTGCTTTCATGGAAACCAGCACAATCAAAGAAAAGTAAGAGAGGGGATAGTCACATGATTTCTGTCTTCACTGTGGCTATGATGGCTAATATGACTTGATAATAGTGATCACTGCAAGTGCAACTGGAACAAAGATGTCAAGTTTATATGGGAATCGTTACAATTGAGAAGAATGGGGGATCAGGTGGGAGTCAGAACTGGTGGCAATTCCTGCTGTGACCCTTAGAGGGGAGCAATTCTGACCACTGGCATTCTAGAAAGGCCTGGAATTTTGAAGGTTCTTTGAGATACAGATGCCTTATGGCATCCTTCCTTGGCATTCTTGCTCTTTGGAACAAGTGTTCTGAATACAGCTTTTATTGGGAAACATGAGACAAAGCAACTCTCTGTTGCTTGTGAAACTAAGGCCTCTTGAACTTTTAGTTGGTCTTAAGCCCTTTCTCACCCCTGGTACTTTTCCCTAATGATTTATGAGTCTGGCTTACAGTGGTTTGTTTTTGGGTTTTGTTTTTGGCCAAATGGCTAGAGAGGGGCTGGAGCACTTAACTCTAGGGAAATGTTGTCGAGTGTCTCTAAAATGTACATTTTCTGGGTTCCCAAGGTGTGTCCTCCTGTCTCTTTTCCTCGAGTGAGGAAATGGATGTAATGGTAGATCTGCTAGGTTGAAATAGGGTCATGATTTTGCCTTTTGGATTCAAGAACTCAACTTTTGTAGTTGTTAGTTTCACTATTTTTTCCTTATCCTCAAGTGTTTAAAAGGTCACATAAGAAAAGGGGTGAGTCATCTTGGATAGTTTACACCAATAGTTCTCGAGGCGGGAGGTAGTAACAGGAAAGGATCTTATTTGGAGAACTCTCTTCAAGCTATCCTTCCTAGTGTCCTTCTCCCACTTTTCCCCTTTTCCACAGTTCTGGGTATTTTAAGAAACTTTGGTAAGAATAAGGCTTGAGTAAAAAGTTTGAGAAAACTGAGTCTCCCAATGTAAATTACTGCCTTAATCCAATGGTTCTCAACTCTGGCTTCTCATTTATAAACCTCTAGCAAGCTTTGAAAGTACTGTCCCTTGAGCCTTGTGCCTGCAGTGATTGTAAATTTCAGTATTTTTCAAATGCTCTGAGGTTGTCCTGACATCGTAACATCCTTTCTCATGTGTCTGGTGAGACTAGGTTTAAATGTAAGTTCTATAAACCTGCTATCAATTGCTCCTTATTCTGAATGCTTCTTATCTTCTCTGTTATTAAAAATTATTTAATTACTTTAGTTTTCTTTTACCAATTTTTTTTCTCTTACTTAGAGTTTTCCTTCAAAGAATCAGAGAATTAAAGCTTTTTATAGATAATTTGAAAAATGAAGACCTTGAGGTTAAGGCTGTAGTTCAGAGGTAGAGTATGTTTCTAGCATCTGAGAGACCCTAGGTTCAATCCATAGCACAAAAAACTAAACAAGGAAATGAATAACCCTTGAGAAATGTTTTCTAATTGTTGTGTATGTGATGTGCGTGTACATACATGGAGATTTCATATCCCTGAATTGTTGTTCCTTCTATAGTCACTCCACCATGCCTACCCTTTTCCATAACACACATAGTGTTTTCATGTCTGGCCTCTAAGATTTCTCTTTCTTTCTCTTTTTCTGTAAATTTTAGTGTCAGCTACCATAGTTCATTCAATGAAATATATTGAGCTGTAGGCTTATTCTATCCTTCCTGGAACCATCATTTCTGTTAACCCTGTTAATTCTGTATCATTTCATTTGGATTTGATAAGCCAGGTTCTTTGCTTATGGGGTTTATTAAACACAATAACAGTAGAAGCAAACTCAAATCACTTCAGTTTAGATGTTGTCAAAAGGCAGATTTTTCTTCATGAAACTTCCAGTATTACAGTTCTGATAGAATCTAATACTCAGGGGTATCAATTTTGTAAAATAGTGAGTCACTTTTGTTGGTATGAGAGTTGGGAAATAGCAGGGGAGCATTAATCCTGACTTTTATGAGCATTCTTACTTATTCTCAGCTGGACTTTAGGAGAGTCTGCAGTCCCCAGGTCAATAATATGTTTGCCTCCCATAAACCACCAAACTCTTTTCTCTGATACCCCCTAAGGATGAACATTAAATTATTTTGAAGCCAACTGAGTTGAAAATTGTAATGATAGTTTTATTTTTTAAATCTTATGACTGGCTTGGACCTTTAGAGAAGAAAGTTTCTTTTGCATATATATTAACAGATGGGTACACACCTCCACTCAATAACAGTCAAGTTATTGCACTCATTTTATTATTGTCTGTTTTAGAAATTTGGTCTGGAGCTGAGTGGAAAGGACAAAGAAAGTGATTGTTACTGAAAAACACCTATTTCTTGTTGAAGAGAAGTTATACCTTGAGATAACTTTATTGACTAGTCTTCCTAATTATAAAGCTGTACTATCACAAGACACATTTTCATAAAAGGATTCTTTTTTTCAGTGATTGCTACATTATATTTTTATAGCAATCAAGCTATGGTCCTTCAAGACTTCTTATAATGTCTCAACTTGGTGATAAATGGGGAATGGATACTACAGATTTGGAAAGTGAAATTTTTAATCTCAAATTTCAAGATAAATGCATCTATGTTTTCATGTTCTATGTCTGTATTTGAGCTAAGTGTAGCAAATGAGCACATAACCCACATCCTGAAGAATTTGTTTAGAATCTGGGAACTTTTGTGGGTTGAGTTTTACCTACCTGTAAACATTGCATGACATCACCATGCTGCCCGGGACCTGTACACCTGCTCGCACGGAGTCAGCTTGATAGCCACTGTCTTCCGGCTCATCTGCTAGTCAGAAACAGAAAATCATGGTGTGTGGGGTGCAGTAGAAAGCACTTAGAGGCACCAGTATGACACCCAGAATTCACTCTAGAGCCCAGAAATCTAGGCGCTCCATTTCTTTTGTAGCAACATAGAGAATCATCATGAAGGAAGAAAGGGATATTGAGGCATTTATTCCTTACGTACTTGAAACAAAAAGAAACAATGATTGCTTACAAGCCTTTATTTTCTGTACTTATTTTAAAACAGGGCTACTGAATGAGATTTTCTTCCTGTTTCTCCTCCACATGTTTTTGTTATCATAGTGATTTTAATAAGTCCCTAGGATTGATAGTGCTGACCATATAAGCTTTGGTTTGGGATTCATGATAGAGAAGTGTAATAGAAAACCTGACATTCTAGCCCTGCGAAGGGTTAACAAATGAGTTTAATTTTTACAAAGGTGGAATCTTAGCATTCTTATATTTTTCACCATGACCTCTCCCTATAGATTTGTAAAAGGAAGTCACTTCCCTCAGTGAGAATAGCTAGAATTGTTTTTGCTTTTCCTCCAGGTCTACTTAGGAGACTCAGTGCCCAGCTGACCAGCCCCATGGCATGTTGGGGTATGTTGGAGGCTCATCCAGATGTCGGTCCTATCTGACTCAGGCAATCAAATACAGTCTCCTACTTGTTCAGAAAGGACAGTAAAAAAAGGCACTGGATATTTACTTAGCTTTTGACAAATGTATGGCTTGAGAGGTGCAATTTGTTTTTATTCTGTGGACACACCAAATAGCCCTTCTTGGAAATGATCGGGGGAATTCAAATAGGCAGAAATCCTATGGTCAGCACAAACTTCAAGCTCGCAATTCTCAAGACAGCATGAAGCTGTTTTTTAGTGTCAGCTATGGTCAGAAGCGTGTGTTGTGGCATTTGGAAGAGGAATTAGGGCAGTTAGCTAATTGCATGCTTGAAAATGACAAGCCACTTGAAAATTCAAAAGTCTGTCTTTAATCCAAAAAGAAATTGGTGTAGCTTTGAACTCTGTAGTTGTTATTTTATACTGAATTTCAAGCACTTCCTATTAAACATGGAAAATTTGACTTTTTTCCCCTAACCTTATCTTGGATACTTTGCTATTCTTAGTGCATGTTTTGAAGTGTTCTTCATTTAAAAGAAGGAAAGAATGGGTTTTATCAGTCATATTAATTCAATAAATAGTCTTATTTTGTTGTTAGGTCTTTTGATCAATACTCTGTAGCAGAGCTTAGGGTAAACTTTCCTTTCTAATCCTGGGTGTAAGTCAAGAAGTAGCTCATTGGCCAGTAAACTCAGAGGCTCAGTAATCTTTCATGGATCAACTTGATGTGTTTTTGCTACATTTTTTTAAATGCAGATTTTTTTTTTAAAAAAACACTTCTGGAGACCTTTTCGTAAATCTTTCAGGAAATGAAAAGAAAATATTCTTTCTGAAAATCACTGTACTTAAAAATGGAAGCCTTTAAGCCTTTCTATCTCTTGGGAAGAGAATCATCTCATTCTGTACTGAATGGAGGGTCAAAAATCAGCAATACCACAAAGGTCTTCAGTTGGTAAAAGAAGCCATCATTTAAATATTTGAAATAGAAGCTTTTTGTCTCGGTTAATCAGTTCTGATGTTGACCATTGAAAGCTAGTCACAGAAAAATAGGTCATGGTGCTCAGTGAGAATGTTTCAGTTTCAATGAAGAATTAGGGTCTCTGTAGAAACACCCAAAATCAACCCCTTGAATATTGAGTGTAGATTTAATGTTGGGCTGAGTGTCTTGTTACTGATTTAGCAAGATCAACCTATAGAGAAGAAGTTCTTTTTTTTTTAATTGATTTGGTTTGAATAGTGGTTGTAAATTTAGTGCTTTTGTACATTAAAAAAAACTAGAATCAAGTCAGCAGTATACTAGCATCACATTTCTTCTTCTGTGTTTCTTTCTAGGTGAACTAGCTTTTGAACTTAGAAAAACCATTGCATCTAGGAAGGTGGAGCAAGGGCTAGGAGACAGGAGGTGGGACTGATGAGAATTTGCACAAATGAGAGAGGAACCAGCTGGAGATGATTCTTATAAGTAAATTGCATCTGTGAGAAGGTGGAAGGAGGTTGCAACAAGGAGCGACATCCTAGGACATGTAGTCTAGGCTTTCTTGATTTCTGCCCTAATGACATTTTGGACTCTGGTTGCTGTGGAGGACCACCTGTGCATTATGGGATGCCTAGCAGCATCCTCATTCTCTGTATTGGATGCTAGTAACAACTCAGCTACTAGTTGTAACAACCAGAAATGCCCCTGGACATTGCCAAATGTCCCCTCGGGCAAAATCACCTCCAGTTGAGAATCACCCATATTGACTCCCAGGATACATACGGTACATGCAAAGCAGTTAAGTGGGAGACATACAGCCTCATTCATTTCACTCAGGCACACATCCCCATACCAACCCAACTTCGATAGTTGATATTTCCTCTTTTTAACGCACTCTTATTTTTTATCCTCAGTTGAGATGAACTTTCTCCCATAGGTTGTCTGGTCACTGAGGTCACTAGGTCCTAGGTCTGCCCTCAGTTCCAGGTTGAAACTACTGTCCTCACATCTACCTGTACCCTGTCTCAGGTTCCCTGGCTTCTACCCACAGCATTGCCTGGAATAAACTGGTAGGCTGCTTTTAAGTTGTTTTGGTTCAAAAAGCTTCCTCTTATTTTTTTTAAATTGTGTTTTGTTTTAAACCACAATTGCTTGAAGTGTCTCAGTGACTTTGCTCTGTTTCTGTTCCTTGCATCTCCTCATGATGATGAGCTTATGTGGGAGGAGCAGTGCTCATATCACACATACTAAGTCTCATTTGCTCAAAAATGGCCCATTCACCTAAATCCTAGCAATCTGATAGTAAGTCACATTTTCCTTCCTCTAGCTCCAGACACAGTTCCTTTCCATTCATGTAAGGTTTTGTGGCCCAGCGTGCACAGAAACTTGCAAATCATCCTTTTCTCCATTCTGTAACCTGCGTTAAGTTATAACTTTTCTTTTTTTTTTTTTCCATTCTAAGTGGGAGGGGGGTAAAGGTCAGGGGTGGGTTGACAACAGTGATGATGGGTTGGTCTCTTTAATCTTGCAGTTTTATTGTCATTGCCTCCAGTGTCAAATGTTATTCAATGTCTGTGTATACACAGAACCAAATGATCACTTGACAGTAGTGCATGATCACCAAGTATTTCTAAGAAGAACAGTGCTAAGTCACTGACTGGATGTATTTTTCTTGTCTATCAACTAAGATGCAAGTAAACAAGTAATGTTACCTTAGACGCTTCATGGATTTGTTGTCTATCTCAGGCAGGTTTGGTTAGGAATGAAGAAAAAAGCAAATCATATAGTCAAGGAAACTACAAACAAGAAGAATCAAGTTGTTGAAGATGGTGGAAAGATAACAAATGTATTGTAAGAAACAATGGTCAATTTCTATGCTAGTGTAGGTGGGATCGAAAACTTACTTGAAGGAAAGGAGATGTATATGTTAAAATATAGTGCCTATAGGTCAGAAAAAGCAGTCTTAAATGTCATTGGTAAAGTATCAGTAGAAAATAAACACACACACACACACACACACACACACGCACACACATTGATTTCTCTGAAGATATATCCACAGTGATTCAACGCTTGATTTATAAGTGTAACAGAAGAAGGTCAAGATAGAGGCCCGTTTTTAAAGCTGGTATGGTCGGTCTCCTACTGGTTCTGAAATCCTAGTTTAGTGAGAAGTAGTTCCCAGATTTTAATGTGATTGTTTTTTTGTTTGTTTGTTTAAGCTTAAAGAAGAATTCCAAAGAACGGCCTACATATCCAGAGCTTATGGTGAGTATTAGCAGTGGAAAGAGCTCCAATCTAATAACTAGTAAAGTCTCTGTGTCCTAAGTTATGATTAAATTAACCATATTGGAAGTTGATCCATTGAGACATCAGTAATAGGAATCAGACTCAAGAAAAACAGTTGAGTCCTTTACTCATTGTGTATCCTTTATTAAAATTTAATATTCTTTCTTTTTTATTGGCATATATTGATTGTCTAAAGGAGTTTCATTGTGACATTTAACGCAAGCTAGGAATGTAGCACCATTCTTACAAATTTTTTCCAGGCTCATAAGCCCGTCATGATAGAGAACAAATTATGTCTATAAAATCTGTATTTTCAAATTTAAAAGCTAGCTGGTGTTACAAATTAGTAATCTAAAATCAAAAAAGCAGGATTTAACTGATTTTAATGATGATAGATATTTAAATGTCACATATCTGATCTAATTAGTTAGATTATTCCCATCCTGTCCCACTCACAACCACGTCGTCTTCAAGACTAGCACAGGGCAGCAAAGTGTCCTACGTTCTCTTAGCAAGTGGAGTGGTGAGGTGGCTGAGACTTCGGAAAAGTACAGCTCAGAAGAGTTACACAATGTTGATCCACAGCGATGTGTGATTGTCACAGCCACTCATGTGGACTTTCAGTTCTCGTGGATAAGCTTTGATTTATTTAAGTCAGGCCTATTCCTCATTTGGATGAATTGGAGTCAGGACCATCTCCTTTGGCTGTCATTGTTCCCTTTAAAAGAACAGCATCCAGTGCTTAGAGTTCAATAGCTTTATTCAACTAAGACCTAGAGCTGAGGAAGAAAAGAAAGGTACTACTTGAGAAAAATCTTAGTATTCTACATGCTTATGTTTAATATTTCCTCCATCATTATTATTTTTTAATGGCCAGTTCAGAAATCTTTTTAAAAAAATTTTTTTGGTATGGTTGGGTGACCTCTAAAGGCATTTCAAATTTAATTTCACACAAAATGCAATAGACAGAGTGAATCCTATTTTAAAGTCTCCTTGTTTTGTAATTAATTTCAGATAAAAGAAGAACACTTTCTATATATTTCCAGCTGTTTAAAATGTAGAGCATTCCTTTTTCTCCTGAGTGGCCTCTTATCTGAAATTTCATCAGACCACATTTGAAGAAAAAAATGCTTACTGTACATTGGCAGCTGGTGTTGAATTCTACCTTTCCATTATATTCTAGCAAATACTGTGATGTTTTTGGCATACATGTTGTGGTTGTCAGATGGTGTGGACTCCCCCTCCCCCCTCCCCGCTTCTCCTTATGGCATTAGTCTTTGTGGTACTGGAAATGGACTTGCCTTTTGAGACCATAAGTATTCCCTGCTTTCCTGTGGAATTGAGGTTTTAAATGGAAAATCTAAGTCCAAAACTCCCTGACTTCAGCGTTGGGAAACACATGGTGGGTGGGTATTGTTTAGATTTTAGGAATTCATGAAGAGGTAGAAAAGTAAAAAAAAATAATAATTTCTCTGGATGAAGGACAGTATATCTAAGGCCCCAACCCAGATATGTACTTCTTACAGAAATCCTGAATGGTTTCCTCCCTAATTTGAATTGAGGGTCACACATACTTCAGCATCCTTTCATCCTTTCAAACTTCTATTGGAAGTGGAAGGACGATGACCCTGTAGGATTTGTTCTTTTAGAGTAGATATTACCCAACTCTTTTGTAAAGGTCTAGATACTATTTTAAGATTGTGGAACCTGTAGTTGGTGTTACAACTACCAAATTACCTGTTGTAGGCTGAAACCAGCCATATTGGATATGTGAAAGAAGAGGGTGTGGCTAAGTTTCAATAAAACTTTAATGGTCAAGGCTGTATTTGGCCTGTGAGGCATAGTTTGCTAACCTATGTCTTAGATGGTAAGCACCAAAAATGATAACCAGGTCATTCATGTAATTGTTCAGTGAGATGATTATGTTCTCCAAATACCTTAGGAAGATCTAGATTGACTTACATCGTGATGCAGGATGCCTGAATCTACAGAAAAACATAGTCTTGAGGGATAAGGTATTGTATATGGGATATTAGGGAGGTCCGTTGTTACTTCTGACTTGCCCCTATGCTGCTGGCAGCATGTCCATGGATCTCCATGCTCCTGCTGACCACAGCAAACCTAAATGGTGCAAAGTCCTTTGTTCTTGTGTCCAGTTCCTTTTTTGGGGGGAAATCCAGCCTGGGATGATAGTCTGGGGATTATTTGTGGTATGTCATTTTTCTTATCTCTAGGTTGCTGTCTTTGCTATTTTTGGTCCATTGCTTATAGATAGGATTGGGTTTCCTCCCAATATTTGTGGGCCTCAAAACCTACACAAGGAGAGAAGTCACACTTTCCATTTTAACATGCCCTGTGGCTCTCACAACATTTTCCTAGCCTGGGAATAAACTAAAAGATGCCTGAAGGGTTTTTTTTAAATTAAAGATTTCAGGTCAAGTTGTTTAATTCATTCACAAACTCAGGCTCCATCTACTGAGCTCGTAGCAGCAGAACAAGAAGTGAGGCAGGGCTGGCAAGCATTAGAAGTAGTCACTAAGACAGTCTGTGGTTTGGCATGTCCTGTTTTGATAGTACAAAGCTTTTCAAGCACATTAAAAGATCACCAAATGTCAAGAGGATGTGGGAAAGCTAATAAGCACGATGGTAAAACATTTGGTGAGTGTGCTGTGTACGTGGTTAGTAATTGAAAGTGATGCTTGCTATTTGGGAGTTGAGGGAGCTCGGATGAGGGACCTTGCATCTGGAACTTCTAATATCGTGGGTGTAAGGGTCTGAGCCAGCACCCAACCTGTATCCTCTGATGGGCAAATGTAGAAGACCTCCTTTCCATTTTCTGAGTCACAATCCTTTACAGTGACCACCTACTTTCTTCGGGTTTTGTTTCTTTGTTACTTCTCCATTGCCTGTTTCCTAAAACTTCCCTGGGTGGGCATTCAGTTCCCCACAGAACTGACTCATCCAGCCCTCTACTGTCAGGTTTAAAACAAACAGAATTAGAAAACCTACAGCTAGGCAATATGAAGGTTGTCAACTAAATGCCTTAGATCAGGAAAGCAGAGTGAGTCATCTACATGTCTGCATTCAAAAATGCTCACATTTAGCTGCTCAACTAGCCACTGAACCTAGTACCTACCACCAATCAGTGACATGGGCATGATAGGTAAGGAGGAACAAGGCCCTAGGTTCTGTTTGAAGGGACTGTCCTTCTGGCATTGCGTGGTTGGTTCTGTTTCTACTCTGAGGACTGCAGATCATGATTTGCTATATCTCTTTCTGATTAGAGGTGGAAGGTTCCACTGCCATAACCTGGCATTTATTGTAACACAGTTGAGCAATTTATTGTAAACAGTTGAGTTGGGAGGGTTGTTCTGACTCAAACAGAATGACTTGCTGTTCTCAATTGTTTTGAACTATATGACCTTTTGCACACTACCTTGCCTTTTCCCCTAGCAGAGTGCAAGGCTTGATGTTTTTTGTTGTTGTTGAAGTTTACCTAATCTAACCTGTGTGCATAGAGACTATTCTCCTCTTTTCAATCTTTCTTCTCCAAGTTGAATTTTTTCTACACGTACCTATACTTTGGCAGTCTATGTTATTTTCCAGATATATCAACTCTTCATCAAGAGGGACATAAATTTAACTCTTGGCTGTTTCAGACTTAAAGAATACCCTTAAACTGTTTTGGTTCAAACCAGCTCTCCATGGTCAAGGGCAAAGATACCTTTCTTGTGCATTTACTATTTGACAAAGTTGACATCTTGTTTTGCCACTCTTTTCTTCTAAGAAATAAAAGTACCTCATTCTAAGAAATGTCTAATTGTTCTACTATTGCAAATGACTTTGTACGGGACCGTGTTATTTGTAAGTCAGAACTTTGGATGGTCTTTGCCAATCTTTGTATTTTACTGTAGTCATGATTTACAAAGCATACTTACGTATTTTTTTAAAGCAATAGATTCTTCTAGTGGAAACCTAGAGATATCGGAAACAACAAAGAGATAATCTTTAAAATATTTGCAAGGGGAAGGAGAAATACAGCTAATCCCTGATAAGAATGCTAAATGCATTTATTAAATCTATTAATTTGTTAATCTCCTATATAACCAGTTACAAATATTAATACTGTATATTTTTCTTTTCTTTTCCAGCAACATCCATTTTTCACCCTACATGAATCCAAAGCAACAGATGTGGCATCTTTTGTAAAACTGATTCTTGGAGACTAAAAAGCAATGGACTTAATTGGTTGACCCTACTGTGGATTGTTGGGTTTACGGGGTGAAGCAAGTTCACTACAGTGCCAATAGAAAGTCATCTTTGAGATAATTTAACCCTGCATCTCGGAGGGTTTTCTCTTCCCCATTTTCTTTTCTTTTACCCCTGCTTAGGGGGCCTTGGAATCTATAGTATAGAATGAACTCTCTAGCTGGATGAAATGTGATATAGGCTTAGGACTTGAAAAAGGTGATTAAATATTTAATGATGTGTCATATGAGTCCTTAAGCTTCTCAGATTTCTCTTGTTCTTTTACAAAATGAATGCAATTGGCCCTGGCAAAAAGGTGCTACAGTAGTGATGAAATTGTAAGTAGATGTGTAGTCTGTCCAACTTGTAATTTTAATATTTATGTTTAAGTGCTTGGTTGGAAAGATTCCATTTTGTGCAAGATGGGAGATACGGAAGACAAGGTTGGGTTGGCAATATTTATAGGGCTTTTATTTTTTAAGTTCAGTCGTGTCTGTGGTCCAGAAGAAATTATTTAATATGCATCTTTAAGAATATTATAAAAAAAATCTCAAAAAGGAGCTCTTCTTGTGACGTGTCTGTTGCAGTTGTGGTGGCTGCTTCCAGGCTCCCAAACTTCAACTCAATCCGGGGTAAACACATCTGTGAAGTGAAGTGTTAAAGTACCTGATCCTACCGCTTCCTCAACTTTGGACAGCATTAAAAAAAAAAAAAAAAAAAAAAAAAAAAGACAAGCAAACACTTGTATCACAGCTCAAAGAGTAAAAACAAAATGGTTCTTTTGACATTTGTGATATTGTATTAGTGCAAAGTGATCTGTGATGTGAGTTTATATCTAACTACCTACCCATCTATGTGTGTGCATGCGTGCGTGTGTGTGTGAGAGAGAGAGAGGGAGTGTGTGTGTGTGTGTGTGTGTGTGTGTGTGTGTGTCTGGAAAATCAAGTCCTGCTAGGTGGCTTCTCTACGGATCTATATTTAGTAAGGAGGACACTTGTCAGTCATGAAGTGAGAAGTGACAAACCACAGTGAGAATTGGTGCCTTCTGCTTTTGTCCCTCCCACAATGAATCTACCCCAAAGATTGCCTTTGTAATTAATCTCTCTCCTGCTTTGTTTGTTTTAATGTTCAGTGAAGAAGCCTTATTATTGGGGAAGAACTTGGAGTAGCAGAAAATTAAAGGTGGTTGGTAGTCCTTTGATAAAATGAAAAGATAATGTGGAAGGTTTAATTAATTTGTAAGTATAGACTACCAAATTTCCACAGGTCAAGTTTATGTCACATCTTTCTTCAGCAGCATGCACTGGCTAGCTCCACTCCTGAATTCCCAGCAAGTTGACTAGGCAGCAAAAGTTCTCTCTTGTGGCTGAAGTCACCCACGGGCTCTCTGTTCCTCTGTTCCTTTAGAATCAAGGAGTGAAGTCATTGACGGGGAAAATATAGACCTATACTAAATAACAAGGAGCCATGGCTTTGAGGCATTGTGTTTGGGGTACAAAGGCAGAGAATGTTGATTTAAAAAAAAAAAGAGAGAGGAAAAATATCTCATATTTTTTCCTTGCTTTGAGTTCACAAAAAAGGAGAGGGCCACTCCTTCAAATTCTCCCTTCTTTTCTCATTTAGATTTTTCAGTGCAATAGTATATTTTTCTCTGTATTTCTTCCATCTTGTTCTTAACTCTTGCTCATGACAGTTGCCCATAGTGAGTATTTCACTTCTATATCCTCCTTTGTGTCGTATTTGATTAAACATCAGTTTCATCTGCTTTGAAGATACATCTGTTTTCATTTTCTTTTTCTAGCCAGAAAGCATTCTTACTATCCTTTAAGTATTGTCAATTTCCCATCCATCTTCCTAAATCACAACTGTGTTCTTGCTGTGTTCACCCATTTTATAGAAACAGAAAGAAGAGGAAAAAAATCTGGGGTGACCCTTTACAGCTTTTGGCGAAGTATATAAAGCAAATCATCTATCTGGTCTGGGTCTGATTGTATACACCAGTTTTTCTACTTTGAAACATTCTGAACAAAGAGCACATTTCTTATTTGTTTCTTGTTCAGTCTTTGAACCCAGGGCCAGAACCTGCAAAACAGTCATAGTGGGTAGAAAATGAATTGGCCTTTGGTTCTCTACTCTGGTTTACTTTGGAATCATTGAGGAGCTTGTGAACAATGTCACTGCCAAAGTCCTAGTTCCAGGAACTTGGATTTAACCGGTCCAGCATGGAACTGGGAATGAGTACTTTTTGACAAACCCTCTTGTGATACTGATAGGCAGCAGGGTAAAAAATATTGGACTTGTACCTTTTAAGGAGAGAACTGACTTAAAATTACTTTGTCTTCACCATCTGCAGAGTAACAAGTGATTGCAAAGAGGAGCAAGAGCTCCTATTCCTTTTCCTGTCCTCACCAATGGGGACATCTTTGTCAGTATCAGGGAAGAATGCTCCCGGAATTTGATTTGAAATTTGAAATAGTTTTTCTTCAGAAAAGCAATATTCTACATAGTGATCAGATGTCTTATGTACTAAAGTACAAGGGATTGATAGTCTTATGAGTCTAAATTTTAGAACATGATCTTGTTTGTGGAGGACTGGAGGTATACATTATAAACAACCAACTTAAAAAATAATCAACCAATCACTGAGGATGTAAGTCAGTACTAGATCACTGGTCTATCCTGTAGAAGACCCTTAGTTTGATCCCCAGCACCATACACACACATACACATACACACACAAGTTAAGATGCATAAATTATGTATCAGTTGGGAGTCTCTTATACATGTAGGCAGATATGAATATATAGAGGGAAGAATCTATATTCAAGGATGATATTCAAAATACTTAGTTGTCTACCAGCATGGACTATTGGTATATCATCGTTGTCTATATTCATCAGTACAGTTGCCACAGAGATTAGGGTCACTCATCAAAATGTATTAGATTTGTATCATATTGCCTATACTGTAAATTTTCTTTATATTATAAAAATGTTCATCTCTCTTTGTCTTTGATATAATAGATGTGCCAAAATCATAACATGAATGATTCTTAAAACAGTTACTATGTGTATAATGTCCCTCCAGGTAGCCACCTCAAGAGATTATATATTTATAATAATTTTAAAATTTACTAAAATATTTTTGCTACTTCTCATTCAGAAACCCATTCCCCTCCCTATATTTGTAATTTCTATTTTAAAATTATTCATTAGAGTTTTAATTTTTTTATTAGTATTATTTTTTTCACAAAAATCCTGACTAGGTATTTTCCAGTTGGCTCATCTACCTGGATTATTAGATTTAGCATCAAATCCTGCTTGGTAACCTCTAGAAGGTAAATCTACCCTAACAGGTGAAGTTTTACCATTGTGGAATCTTTGTAAAGCATCTTGTTATTTGCTTAGAAGATAATTTCAAATGAAGAGCCTTACCACCACCCGAAAAAAGAGTAAGTAGAGCCAGTCTTCCTGGAATAAATACAGCCCTCTAAAATGACTACTTTGAAGAAAAAAAACTCACATAAAGGTATATATTGATACAATATCAGTCACTGATTTTACACATGGCACCAATCTGTTAGGCATGCCCAAAGGCCTTGATGTGAAGAAATAATCTATTATTCTAAGGACTGCATTTGGTCACCGTGATAAAATCAGAGTGAATCAGTCAAATAAGCAGATTTTATTTCAGTTAGGCCATCTGAAAAATGGAAATTAATTCATGTGAACATAGCTGTATTTTAAGGTTCTTGAATATCCTCCAAACCTAATAAAAATTTTATGTGCCAGAGTTTCCCAAACTTGTTTGTTTATGGTGCTGTTAGTTGTCTTCATAATTTCTTTCATGATGCCCTAGCCCAAAATATTTCATAGCTCACTGTATTAAGTAATTAGGCCAAGCACCATCACAGTAACAGCTTGAGCCATGTCATACAGATGTTTCTGTGTTTCCCTCAAAAATCAAGAGTGTCCTACCATGCCTCAGAGTTTGCTGTGACACCTCACATGCTTGGAAACTCCAGAATGTGTTGTGCTGATGTTTGCTTTGTCTCTGACCAGGGACCCTCGAAATTGAATTCTTGGTTGCTCAATCCTCCTTATTATTTCACTCTTTGTGTCTTTGTTATTTTGGTTTTGCCTGCCTCTGACTAATTCACTTTCTAATGAGCTACTAGCCTTCTTTGCTGTTCATCAGTCTTGCATTGCCAGACCACGGCTAGTCAACAAAATGAAATTGTCAGCAATAGAGGAGGCTGGTACCAAACCTAAGAGTGTCACTGATTTCTCCAAATGAACTTGATTTAGTGTCTTTGAAATACAATCACAAAGGACACTGAGAGGGACTAATGTTTTCTAGTTTAACAGTAAAAATGTTTATGTTGACCAAGGGTCTTCCTCATATCTGGTCAGAGGAAATACTCTGTTTCTCCCAAAAGTGTATAACAAAAAATACTTTGTCTTTGGCTTGAAAGAATTAGTACAAATAAGTTCCTAGTTTCCTACCCAATTTTTTTCTTTTTGGCTATGTAACTCCTTGTGACCTTGAAAGTAAAATTCGTATATTCATAAAATTCATCAGAGCTGGTGTTTAGATCTAGTAAAATGAATTAAATTTCTGTTGTGCTGAGATTTTTGCCTTCTTAATACCTGTCTATAACTTTAAGGGGATTTGATGGCTCAAGGAATGTTCCACTTCTATTGAATTAACTAGTGAAAAAATACTTGGATAAATGTCACTTTCATAGTACTTCTTTCTTTCTATTTTTCAAGTGGAAGTTGCCATTTTCATCTAAGCCCCTAAAAATATACATGTAAAGGTAGACAAATGGAGTAGAATATAGGAAGAAACTGATGCATAGAGAAAAGATATTTTATTCTAGAAGTTTCATGGTCCACTTTTCTAGGATTGTGTGTATGTTTTTGCACTGTTAAATGTACTAACAGCAGGAGATACTCGGGTTTTCTTTGGCATAATCGGGGCACGCTGGGTTCCTTTTGGAATCTATTGAAAGCTAGGACCTTTTCCCTATGAAAATGTGCATCATGCTTGAAACACATACTTTTGCAAATATTTGTGTCTTAGGGGAGGCATTGCAGTTTATGGATACCATAGTATCAATAACTCTGCTCTATGGAATGTTAGCCTCCTAGATCTATGCTGGCAAACTCTATAAAGGGCCCAGTAGTAATCATTTTGGTATTGTGTGTTTCGTATGGTCTATGTCACATCTACCCAGTTGTGCAGTGTGAAAACATCTATAAGCAACATGTAAGTGAGTGTGCATGGCCGCTGTGTTCCAATAACACCTTACTTACAAAACCAATAGGCCAGGTTTAGTCCACAAGCCATGGCTTACCAACACCTGCATTAGACCATCAAACACAAAGTTCTAGTTCACTGACTATATGAATAGCATTTTTAAATTTAATGAATATTTAGTTGAACTGCTGTTGCATCAAGGATGGTGGGGGTTGGGGCAGGTTGGTTAGTCCTATAAGACTTGCCTGCTAATTCCTTTAGGTGAACATTCACTCTTCCAGAAGCTGATGGAATACTTTTCTCCAGATTGATTTCTAAGCAATTAGTAACATAACTTACTTCAGTTTAGAAATAAAAGACACATTTTCTTAGATGTTAAGTCTGTCCTTGGCTTTTAGCGTCTTTGCGTTTCTTTCTCTCTATGGGGTGATGTGCGCAGGAAGAGAACCATGAACCCAGACATGAAT